TCCTTCTGGTCGCTTTACATATTGAACAGGAAGCGTGATCAAATAAAGCCCTGTGGCAGTCTCACCAGAGTGAGTTCCCCAAGCAGATGAGTAACCATCCAAAACTACTCTCCGGTCCTTCCAGAGAAAGATGAAAGGAGTTATTCAAGCTCTGCTCAGTCTGTCCCTGACAGGGTGCACAGGCATGTCAACAATGCCTTACAGTCAATGGAAAAAAGGCATGATAGATCTAAAAGTATGACCATGTTTTCTCATTTAAAACAAAGTACAATGGACAAATTATTGTTCATATTCCATTAGGTGTTCTGTACGTGGTGATGAGCATGGTATAAATGTCTGAAATACTCAAAGATAGGTTTTAATATTGTTACAAATGTGCAGAATTAAGAAACGAGGAGTAAAAGAAATCTCATTTCTGATCTTTTTTTTAATATACATCGTATCACATCTTTTCAAAATGTTTTCAGGCAAGACTGTGACATATGTATTCGGGTACCATCTTGGAACATATATTTCTGATAGAGAAGGAGAATGTGGAACTTAAAACAAGCTCATCTTCATGGAGTTTTAGATTCCCATTGCAAAACAGTGGTAAAAAATAATCTAAATTTGCTGTTATTCACATTTTAACAAGTGTACAAGCCTCTGACCAAGCTGAATCATTAGGAACAATATTAAAAACTTAGGGCCAACTTTAGAAAACAATGGAAATTAGGTACAAATATATCTTTTAAAATCGGAACCTTAGGCTCACATTTCTTTAACCCTTTGGGCAGATCCTTAGCTGATCTTCTGGGGGCTCAGGACAAAGCCAGACTGACAAAAAAAATAGAGATTTAATTGTATTTGTGCCATATTTTTAAAATATTTGTCCATATGGTTACAGCACATTTAATCATGTACACCAACTATTCCCTTCAACTTCCTACTGTCAAATTGCAAAATCTTCAACTAAATCTCGGTAAATTCCCTATTGAAGAAGCTAGCTATAGCTGAATGCTCCAGGGGAAACCAAGGGACTAAACCTTGCCCTAGGAAAATCAAATAACCACAAAAAATCTAGAAGAGCAAGGACACCATCCTCCATAAGGAATTGTAACATTTTAAACTAGAATACTAAAGTATTAAACCTCAACATTGATTAAAAAAAACTAGTAATACATACAGTAAGTGTTTTTTTTTTTAAATCACTTTGGAATAACTGTAACATAATCTGTTAATTTAAAATTCCATCTGTTCTACAGGAGGTTGGTATCTTTTTCTACAGGAACTCAGTTACTTAATGGAGTTGTCCCTGCAGGACTGGTGGAATTCTAAGGGTCCAGGACCATACTGTGAAAGAGCTACAGTTCTGGGCCTACAATTCAGATTACTAATGAGACCTGCCAGCCAGGGTGCTAAGTTTGACCCCCCACAGAACAATAACTTTTTTAAGGTTTTAACAGTACCCATGCAAATAGGATATGCTAAAGGCGGAAGGTCTGTGTAGGGTTTCAGCCTTAATTCTACGCTTCCTTGCTTTTGTGAGGTTGTCAGCTATTTGCATTACTACAGCAAATATTTTTTTTTAGTTTAATATCTTACTTATCACAGAAAACCAGGGTCCAGTTAGTTAAGGTTTCAGTTGGACGTGGCATCTGACTTCCTACACTTGTCATGCATCAAACTGTTATGGCTGGCAATTGTTTAAAAAAATTCATTTTGTTATGAACTAGGCTGTTTTCAACTGGGCTGTTCAGAGATGGATTGCTTTCTGGAGTTTTTGACAGGTGTAATTGTTAAGGCGTCATCTGTTCTTGTTTGCACAAAATACATTTTAGCCAACTGTAGGACTTGCCCGCTAATCTTTCTCACATCATTCCATTCTTTGCTTGCCACTAGACAAATCCCCTGTTATTTGACCAGATGGTGGAAAATCCATTCTCATGATAAGTTGCTTCTAGTTTGCATTTAGATTACCTGCAAAAATGGAACAATTTACTACTCTGCCTCTAACCATCTCTTTCCTCCTTTTTTCCCTTAGTTTGACTTCTTGTAACTAATTATTTAAATTCTGCCCTGTGAGTTAAAATTAGTCATAGCTTACATGTTTCACATATATGTAAATGTACTTAAGTTCTATCTCCAGTTGTATGATGGGTCCATCTAGAGTTTAAGTGACATATAGAGTTGGGAGGATGGGCTGTCTGATGTGCAAACACAGTAGTTTATAATCATTTCCCAATTGAAAGGGTACTTTTGAACTTTTTAGTGTAAGTATGCAACCTTTTAAAAACAAAATAAGATGAAGGAATGCATGTAGCTTTTTTGATACCACACATAGCAAGAAAAGGTTACAAATATTAAGTGAAATGTGACTTTTGGTTTGATTCTTAGGCATACTGTTGGCTCTGTTTCTAGTATCTTTGGAAAACAACCTTCTATTGTAGCTATATTCTTGATAACATTTCATGTTGATTTTTTTTGCTGTCATGAATAAAGTGGCAAATGTACTCTGTCAAAAAGCTTATATAGAAATAAGTGTTTTGTTTTTAAAATCATTCAAAACTCAGCTAATGTTTGGTTGAGCTAAGCACTGCAAATTGATTAGACTCAAATACTCCTCAGTGCTTTAATTTTTAATTCAGGAAAAAATACAAAAAATCAATTTTCAAAGCCTAAAACAGAACAGGAGTATGCAGTACCCAGAGTAAATACCTAAAATACAGTTTGATCTTGGGCAAAATCAATTTTTTTATGTGGAACCTGTGAGATCTACTATCCCTGCTGACATATTGTGTTAAAGAACGAGTTTTCAAAATTAATTTTGGGAAAATTGTCTAAAAGTCATTTTTAGAGTTAAAATATAGGGCTGACTGTCTCAGAATACCTGCCTGGACCCTATTAAGCAATCTTTACTTACTGCTTACTTTGACTGGGAGATTTGACTGGGTAAGGAGTGATGAATAAGTCCCTGTATGAGGCAGTCCTTATTTCTGACACATTTCTGACCCACATTATCTTAATGATTAGTTTATAATTATTTAAATATAAATATGTGAAATGCCAGTTAAAGTAGTTAGCATAGGGCACATAGATACCGTGGTGATGGGCTTATTATAAATACCTACAATATATATAAAAAGAAAAGGAGTACTTGTGGCACCTTAGAGACTAACCAATTTATTTGAGCATGAGCTTTCATGAGCTACAGCTCACTTCATCGGATGCATGCCGTGGAAACTGCAGCAGACTTTTCCACGGCATGCATCCGATGAAGTGAGCTGTAGCTCACGAAAGCTCATGCTCAAATAAATTGGTTAGTCTCTAAGGTGCCACAAGTACTCCTTTTTGCGAATACAGACTAACACGGCTGTTACTCTGAAACCTGACAATATATATAGTTTTATTCACTATCACATTTCATTTATGTAGTGCAACCAACATCTTAAAATCTTAATAGTAATAGACAAACATCATACAAGGAGATATGGGGAATTTTTCAAAGCATTGCTCTGGGTGTGAGATACATGACTCCTGTGTGACTAAAAACCTGCTCTGGACTGGAAAATGCAGTCCATAGCATTTCAGAAATATTTTCTTGTTCAGTTTAAACATAGTGGGCCAATTTCTGTGCTAATTTAGGTGCCATGCAATCTCATTGAAGTCAGTAGGATTGGGAGATGTATGTTGATTCATTATTTGGCCCAATGTTTTCACAGCAGGATTTTTCCTTTTTTTCAGTGTTTATTTTTAAATAACAGAAAAAGGAGAGAAATAACTCTGCTCTTAAAAATATTGGGCAAGGATGTGGAAACTCTGAAGTTTAGAACTATGGATACAGTGTATTTGTAACTGAGTTTCTTCTATCGCCTTGCCTGGGTTTCTGCAGTGCTACAATAACCAGCTTTTTTGGGAGACCTATAATCAAGGTGCTATTAAAACAAATATTCTGCGTAGAGAATTTTCAGTTGCAAGATCGGCTCAGAGATATTAAGATAACAATGGTCAGAAATTACATATAGATATTGTCTATGAAAGGTTTTAGAATGATATTTTTCACAGGATACTACTCTGTTGATTAAACATTTTTTTTTAGTTGTATTCTTTACAAAGATAAAACAAATTGTCTCATTTTGAGGTAGCTACTACTAAATTTCATTTTTTTTTTAAAAAGGGGAAATAGTTTTTAATTTTGTGGGAGACACAAAAACACCTACAAGTTAATTATATGTCAGAAAAGTTAAGAAAAAAGTAATCAGTTGGATATTATTTTGAATGCAGTTCATTTATTTTTTAAAATGATGTTGAACTTTTATAGATAAACTATAACTTGTTGGTTATAAGTAAAGGGGGTTGCAATGGAATGAATGGCAAATCTTTCAGAGATTTTAAGGGCCTGATTTCACAAGGTGCTGAGCAGTTTGTGATTGGTGCCAAGTGCTTTCACCATCCTTTGATGTCAATGTAAGTTGAAGACATAGAGCCCTATTTAAAAGGTGATCAGCACCTTTAAGATCAGACCCTAAAATGCTGCTGTATCCCTGATCCTTTGTTACTGAAGTCAATGGGAGATTTGCTGTTGACTTCAGTGGGAGCAGGCTCAGGGTTTTAATTAGCTGGGTTTTTTAGTCCTTATTCAGGCAGAACTCCCATTTCTATCAGTGGGAATTCTGCCTGAGTAAAGATTGCCACAACCAGCAAAGTATGTCAATGAGATAAGCAGTATTTTATTTACCCAAAATGTGTAAAGAATGTATTCAGTTTTGTATCTATGAAATTCTTTACCTCTTCCACATTCGTTGCTTTGAGAAGGGAAACATTGCTCTCGTGGAGAATTGACATTTTGTTTATTCTCATTGCAAATTTCAAAAGAAGTGGAAACTGCTGGGTGTGTGTGCACAATGCAATTATGTAAAGAGATCAGACAGATGTTAAAATTCAACATACTTATTGTCCTGCATTACAGTTGACTGTAGAGAATCTCTAGTCATGTATATCTGTTTTTGATACCTCTACAGAATAACTGTCCAGCATCCTCTGCCCAACCAATCAGAATGTAGGAAAATCTACAGATATGACGGAATCTACTGTGAATCTACCTACCAAAAGTATGTTGAAATCTGTGTGAGTCTTACCTCTGGCTCGTGCATTAGTGCTCGTGCTCTCCCGCTATCAGAAATTAAACCTGTATTGAAACCTTATACTTCTATTTAAATGAAAAACCACTAAAACAGGGACAGAACATTGTTGTTTAATTCTTTGGAATTGTGCTCTAAAAGTTAAAAAGGAGATTAAAAAAATCTTGTGACTTTATTAAATCTCTTCTGTATATTGCAATAAACAAGCACTTATACAGTACAAAATCTAGGCAAAGTATATTGCACAGGTGTTTCACATCTTAGGGATTTGAAAGGTGTGTTATGTATAAATTAGCTGTCACTTTTTTCAGTCATGTAATGGAATGATGAGTTATAATTTGCATAATCCTTTAAGAAGTCAAATTATACTGTCATGTAGCAGATTTAACATGCTAGCTAGGATTTCATAGCTTTGCAGCTAATTAGTATGTACCTTACGGGACTGTTAAATTGGAGTTGTCCTCTTGCTTTGTCGGTTGCCTTTGTCCATTGCCTAATGGTACCTGCATTTGTGGCTAACTACCAAATGTTACTAGTCCTTCTGATGAAAGTACTGTAGATGTCTATTAATATGGGCAAGCAAATGTAACATGATTTGGACAGTCCGCAGAGTTTCTTTTTGAATATTTTAAGAATTATAATCTTTCATGATTAGATTCAATAATCCATTTCCAGTAAGAAATGAGAGAGATGACATTTTATAACTATATTACAGATGATTGTGTTAATATTTTGCAAATGCATTACCACTTTTCTGATTATTTTTATTGAATTTCCAAACTGTTTACTTTCCCTTAATGTTTAATTTTTATATTCTAACTATATTCCTGTTTTGTGGCATATTATATCAGTTATCTACAAGGAGATAAAGAAAATACTACAGTTTGCTCAATAGAAATTAATTTCTAGAAAAAATAGTGTTTACATTGTAGCTAGAGGTTTCTTTAGCAAGAAAGCAATATTTGTTGTGTTTCTTCAGTTCATATTACCCTCCAATTATTCTATAGCTTGTTGTCAATTTGATTAATTAATTTAGTAACTGGAGAAACCACCACAGTAGTAAAAGTTGTAGCTATAGAGTGGATGAAGAATAGAATTAAAGTTTGTAAGAGAAGAATACAAAGAAGAATTAAAGTTTGCGATATTAGAACATAAAGAGAAATCAAGACCGAACCAAAGATTTCCCAAGTGTTAATTTGCTTGTTGAGCCACGATGGTAGCCTGATTTACTGCTGAGTCATCTGGTCATCCTCCATTTTTCTGTTTTTAGAGTTAAATTATTTTCTTTTTATTCATGGTTTACATTGATTTATTGATCATTCTGTAGATGATTTTTTAATCTGTGATAATTTTATAAGCCATCCATCCAGATATGACACTGTATACGAGGGTAATCAATTATTTTTTGTCAAGGTCCACTATTATTATGATAATAATAACTAAATCAAAATATTTTGGGGTTCATTCAAAAGTGTCTGACTGTCCAGATTTGGCCCGTGGTCTGCCTATTGACTACCCCTGTTGTATAGTGTAATCTGTCTCTGGGAAGAATTTGAAGAACCATGAGCATTCTGTTCGGAAAGGTGACTTTAGATGGATGTACTGTACTTATCTTTGAGCAGTAGTTTTATTTGTTATACACCAGTTCAGTAACTATAAATGCTCAATGATTTCTTTAAGCATAATGTTAGATTTGCCATCAGTGGTTCATGTCAGTTTGTAAAACTGACTTCATGACTCTGGAAACTGGCTGTGGAGATACAACTCTTGGCAGAAGGCAGTGGATAGTTGTCTGGCCAACTTTGCTGGGGGTTGCAAGCACAGTGATGGCTTCATTCAAAACGCTTACGAATACTTTGATAGGCATAGTTTTTAATAATAGATATCATTTGCAGTCAGTGAAGTTGCAGTAGATAGCAGACATGACAGCAAGAAAAGTGTTCTGGGTGTGTATTAATTAAAGGCAAATATTGGCAAAATAGTCTCAAAAATTTTAAGTTTGATGCAACAGTCAACATTATAATTAGTCTTGAAAGGATTAGATTTTTATCAATAAATGTCGATAAGCATTGATGTAGGCATTTACACACAAACTATCAGAAAAATATTTCCCTTGATAATAGAAATTTACAGATTAGGAAGGTAAGAAAACTGCTGCTTGAGAAATTATTAGAGTTTAAGGATATTTGTATTTTGACATGCAATGTTGATAATTTGTATGTTAAGAGTTATAAATCTTTAATTTTTGAATCTCAATGACTACTATTATTAAATAATTATTGTTTGACCCCAGCATAATTTCACACAACTGTGAAAATGTAAATAGATAAAAATAGAAAGAATGTTTAAAACCCATAATTTTGTGCAGTTGTGAAAATTTACATCAATAAAATCCCCAAAATGTTTAAAAACAAAAATTGGTGTTATCCATCAAAATGATCAAAAATATAATTTGAATTCTGCCAAGCCTAAATATAATTATTTAATTTAATATGGCTGATTTTGCTTATCTGAATTGTTATAAACCTTATCATGCTATTAATGTCACATAATAAGCATAGATTGTTTGGGAAGAATGTAATATATTTCTTTCTAAAGAAGTTATGTAGCAGGTTTAGACTTTCCTCTATGTGCCCGCAAGGGCAGGGCGGGGGGGAAGGGAGAGATACCAGCGAAAGGAGGACACTCAGGCCTAAGAATAGTAAACTACGCTTTATTGACGGAAGGAAGGAAGGAAGAACTTATGCTCCAATCTGCGTGGGGAGCCCCTAGGGCACGCGGAGGGGCTGCAGGGGACTCTGGCCGTTCGGGACAGCTGACCAGGCAGGACTCCACCGTGGGGGAATCCTCTGCGGCGCTATATTCTCTGTGCTTATCTCGGGGTTACATGGGGTCAACAGCTGGTTACAGTCTTATATGTATGATTTATGCTTATTACATAAACTAACTTGTTTATAGGCAAAAATATTCTGAGCTATGCTACAGTATCTTTTGGCAGGGTCTGTCAGACAAAGTTCATTGAAACTGCCTGCATCCTCTGCTTACATCCAGTCACATACTCAGTCCACCACTTAGCTCCTCGCCAATTTTCTGCAACCTTGCCCCTACACTCCACCCCTTGGCAGACTGAGGTGTATTAGTTACTGCCACCAGCGCTCGGCCCCTTGCCCCTACACTCTAACATTGATAGAATTTTTTCTGTGGTTCTTTGGAGTTGCGCTACTGTTGAGGATAGTTCATATACAGCATATTTAATTGCTGTGTGCTGTAATTTATATCTTTTTCATTGTTGATGCTATTGAAAATTCTTTCTTCAGATCCTATGGTCATGTGTTTCCATTGACATTAAAATTTAACTACAACCATGGAAAACCTTTCAGTAAAAATGACAAAAGTTTAGACGTGAAAGCCAAATTTGAACTTTTGGTACTGTGCAGGCATACATTTTATGAGAGGTAGAATTTGGTTATTTATAGAGCGCTATTAAAATGTTCTGCCATAAACATTTATAAATCTTTCTATTGTCATACTTGCTGGTTTACTTTTTTTGCTAAATTTCAGTTACACTCCGATAGTGTGATTACTTTCTATAGCCCTGATTCTGTGCACCTTTCATATCACAAAGAGTTAGGCCACTTGTGCAGAACTTTCAGTGAGCAAGAGGCCACTAACTGGTGGAGCTAATTCAGAAACTAATTCAGAAACTATATTGGGTAGCACAGGGCTTGCTCATTCCTTATGCAGCCTTCACCTTTTTAGCATTCAGGAAAAAAAGGATTTGGGGAAGGACACTGGATGTGTGAGGGGTCAAGACCATCACTTTCTACATGCTGTTTAACCAGAATAGCTACACAGTGGTCCCTCTGATTTACTTCTGATGACAGCAGTACTTACTATTGTAGGTACTGCAGTCTTGTCACCAAGCAGTGTTGCTTAAAACTAGAAGAGTACTAAGGGCCAGTGCAGAATAGGACAGGACAGGAACCAGAGTGGTGTTTGGAGACTTACTAATGTAAATAGAATTTTTCCATCCCCTAAATGTGAAAAAAAAATACGATGAGGTCCTGAGCTCTGAGGTTTACATTGTACCATTAGGGTTTTCAACTTTCTAATCTCACAAAACCGAACACCTCTGCCCTGCCCCTTCTCCAAGGCTCCGCCCCTACTCCATCCCCCCTCTCTCTGTTGCTGACTCTCACTCACTTTCACTGTGCTGGGTCAGGGGGTTGGGGTGCAGGAGCGGGTGAGGGCTCTGGCTGGGGATGCGGACTCTGGGGTAGGGCCAGAAATGAGTTCAAGGTGTGGGAGGGGGCTCCACGCTGGGGCAGGGAGTTGGGGTGCAGGAAGGGGTGTGGGCTCTGGCTGGGGATGTGGGCTCTGGTGTGGGGCTAGGGATGAGGGGTTAAGGATTCAGGAGGAGGCTCAGGACTGGGGAAGGGGGCTTGGGTGCCAGAGGGGGTTCAGGGCTGGGGTAAGGGGTTGGGATGTGAGGTGCAGGCTCTGGGAGGGGACTGGGGCAGGGGGTTGAGGTGTGGGCTCTGGGAGGGAGTTAGGGTGCAGGAGGGGGTTCTGACCTGTGGCAGGGGGTTTGGGTGCAGGAGGGGGTTCAGGCTCCAACCGGGCGGCACTTTTACCTGAGGCGGCTCACGGTCAGTTGTGCAGTGGGGCTGAGGCAGGCTCCGTACCTGCTCTGATGCCACACTACAGCTGTAAGCAGATGGAATGTCTGGCCCCCAGGCGGAGGCGCGGCCAGGTAGCTCTGGTTCCTGGCCAGTGGGAGTTGTGGAGCCAGTGCTAGGGGCAGGGACAGCGCGCGGAGCTTCCCTGATCACCCCTGTGCCTCACTTCTGGAAGCTTAGCGGAACCAGGGCTGGCAAGCCCCACTACACTGCTGACTGGACTTTTAACAGCCCGGTCAGTGGTGCTGACCGGAGCCACCAGGGTCCATTTTCGCCTGGGTGTTCTGGTTG